TTTTAGAAATTTATTTTTAAAATAGATTAAAAAATCCTTAAATAGTTGTATAAATAAATTTCTCATCACTAAGTAAATAATAAACTTTTCAGGTGTCACTAACACGGCAATAGGTGCGTTCCTAGTAAAATCAAGAAGAGAAAGCCTAAAGGGGAAAAAAAAAAAGCTAATGAAAAATGTGGACAAAAGGAGGCCAAAAGTGTTAGAGAGAAAATTTAAAAAAAAAAAATTCAAATGAAGTGCTTGAAAGATACTGTTAGTGAGATCAATAGAGTAAGCAAAAATTCGGATAAAAATTGAATTTGATGGTACACATGTTGGTTGTTTTGTTTATATTTGAGGGATAAAATTTATTGGGATAACAGCAAATATTATGGCGCCTTTAGGAGCCCAATTTCAATAAATGGCCGCAACTTTTTAAATTTGATATGTGACCATTGTTTTTGGATTTTTTTTTCACGGTCTGTTGATTGTGATTTATAATTTATTGACTGTGGTTGATCAGTGATTGACCACTGATTTTGTCTTTTGGGGTTTTTTTTTTTCACAGTCTATCAATATTTAACCGTAGTCTATTATTGATTGATTGTGATATAATAGTGTCACTGATTAACTAAAGGACTATTTTAATCTCAATTTATCACTGATTGACCAAGATCTATAACTGATTGACTTAAAAAAAGGCTATTGGCATAATTTTGAAAGAGATGGGCCATCCTAAGACAAATTATAGGTTTTGACACTCTTTTTCTTCAATGTATTTATTTTTGCCATTGAAGATGTAGCTCGCACTCACTATGGAGTGGCGGCGGTGCAAGACGGAGGTCCTCCTCATTTCTCTGGCAAACTGTGACGGTTTTCGCGCCTATGGGCTATGAACCATTTGGTGCTGACGGTGCACAACACTACCCACCGGAAAAGCGAAACCCGATGATGGCTTAACTGGATTCTGGCAAGACTCCGGCGATGATGCTCTGACAAGATTCAATTGGGGAAACTAATTCGTTTCTCTTCATCTTGTCACTATGAGTTCGTAGAGATCGAAATCACCTCGATTGGAGGTCATATGACAAAGATATTACGATAAGAAGTTTTGAGTGTTTCGGAACTTCGGCTGAGAAATATGGCCTCCTTTGGCGGAACTAACAGCTGCAAGACCCGGTTCCAGATTCAACATATCAGGTGCTTTCCAACGAGCTAGTAGGTGTAAAAAATGAACGCTAGAAGCTTGTCGAAGGTTGTTGGCCGTGCACGGAGAAGAGAAGAAAAAGGAGAGAGAGAGAGAATTCGTAAAAAAAATGTTGAGAAATAAATATCTGTAGGATATGAAAACTAACCTACAATATATGAAAAATAACCTACATAAGATGAAATGATAACTAACATGATATGAAAAATAACCCACAGGATGAGGCGGAGGCTTAATTCAGTTGGAAAGAGCGGCCTGCCTTTAACCAAAGGTCCTGGTTTCGAGCCTTAGTGGGGTAGGAGTGAAACCCAATGATCCCCTGATTAAAAAAAAATAATAATAATATGCAAGATATTATTGGCATAAGAAATAAAACAGTGTTACTTTTGACTAATATAATTATTTGATTAAAAATGATATTAATAAAAAATAAAGCGTAAAAATCAAGATTCATGTACTTTAAAAAATATTTGTCTTTTTTCTCTTTATTTTATACATATTTTATGGTAGGTGATGAAACCTTTTTAAATCATTTTACAATACTATTAGCTATAATAATGGTCAATGAGGGTGTTATAGTGATTAAGTTCGATTAAAGAAGTGTTTCTGTAATATCAACAAAATCAAGAAGTGTTGCTATTATTTTTTCCAAATCAGTAATAAAAAAGGTTAAGTAGGCAAATGTACAAATTTAAGAATTACGATCGAAATATTGATATTTTTGGCTAAATCCTTTCTCTCTTTTAATCATGTACACTGTCATCCTTTCAATAACTATACGTCCAATTTGTTCACGTTTGGGTCCATCATTTGGAGAAGAACGAGAGATTGAACTGTATTTATTGGCCAAGCTGATTATATTCATCAGTTCAACATTAGTTATTATTATTTTCTATATATTCTTTTGATTAGTCTCAAACAAACAAATATATGCACTTAAGTATTTGAGAGAAAAATAAATTAAATGCTTAGTTAATCACATAGAATGTATGCTTAATCAAACAGCACCTAATGAAATTTATTCTTGCAAATTCTGTCTTTTGTGGGTGTGTGTGTGTGTGTGTGTAAATTTAGGTATAATTTGATTTGTGCATAAGCACTTACTCATATTTTATAGGGTTCATAACTTAAAAAAATGACCACATGCAACTTGTGGGAAATCTTAGGCACCGTTTATTTCGCCGATTCGAGTTTTGTTACAGTAAAAAGCTATAAAAAAACGGTAACATTTAACTTTTTTGCTACAATAAAAAGCTCTCACACAAAATTACATTTCAACTCGAATTACAAACTTAAATCAGCGAAGTGAACGGACTTAAGGGATATATGTGTCCATGATGAGTCATAGTAAAGGATATATATATATATATATATATATATATTCCATTTGTTAATGAGAATATGTAGTGTGAAAGAGACAAGTGGAGTTGGATTGGACATTATATTCAGCTATTTATACATAATGAGAAATTAAGAAATACGTGCTTATTTCCAACAAATATATATAATTTATATATATATATATATATTATATTTATACATTTTAGTGGACATGATGAAGGGTGTTTTCAGATTGTGGCCAAGGGAAAAGATAGGTGATTATTTGTGGTAAAGAATGTGCCACTTGCACTTGGTGTAGAGTAGTGGAAGGCTTTGCTTCTTCTCTACTTCTCTGCTGCATGCGTAGAGCAACTTTAGGCCTCTTCGCTGTTTATTTATTGTTTATTATTTATTTATGGTGAGGCATGCACGTGTTAGATTTGTTCATTACTTTGTTGAACACTAGATTAACAAGTCAAACTAATTGCGCTGCCAAGTGTTTTCCTTTTTTCTTGCACTAAAGAAGAAAAAAATATATCCATATATATATATATATATATAATATATTATATAGGCATCAACTAAAGTAATATTGGAGCTCCATATAGAGTATATTTATCTAATTACATAGATAGTTATATATATATATATATATATATATATATATATATATATATATATATATATATATATATATCCACATATATTATATACACATAATTAGTAAGTAATTACATGCTTGATGCGTATGTATCATTTATTTATCCTTTCCATTTTTCTCTATCCGTATCATGCATGTATTATTTTTTTAATCAAAACAAGTCACCGACTTGTAAACTTTTATTAAAAGAAAAGGAAAATTACTTTAAAAAAAAAAAAGAGAGAATGAATCATTCCGCCACCAAATATAACATCCAGAAACTATATCAGAATTGGCCAAACATTCATTAACTGTATATTCGCCTCTTGTGAGATTTAACAAACTCCATAGAATTAACCTTCTTAAAAGTATCAATCCAAGCATTCTAAAAAAACCACGAAACTTTAAAATAACGGCACCGAAAAAAATGAACTACACAAGTAAAATCGCTCCCTAACTAAAGATTCCTCCACCCCTTACTCCAAGCTAATCTAGTGGTCATCCACATCTCAGGTTGTATCATGCATGTATTAATTATTATAAATGCATTGTCTTATTACTCCATTATATTGACTATATATTTCCCTTTTATAAAACCACTAAATGTTATATTATGGTGGTGCAAATTAATATAAAGTACTGATCTTGCTAAGGATGCTTTCTATATATATATATATTCACTACAAGAAAAAAGGGTTTTTGCGACGACAAAAAGTCGTCACAAAAACCCGAATGTCGTCACAAATAAAATTTTTTGCGACGACAAGTCGTCACAAATTTGTCGGCGCAATATATATATATATATATTTTCCTGTTTTATGTAACGGATCTATCTTTTTTATTTTTTTTAATTTTTTTATTTTTCGAAAGAAGATAACGTACTACCTAACTAAAACGTTATTACGAGTTCTAATACAAGTGTCAAGCCAAGGTCAAAGGCTTAGTGGGTTTGCATTTAAGAGAATGTGGGCTGGTCCTACATTTTATGCGTAAAATATTAGAGGAAATCAGCACGATCTTTTATTTAAAAATGTGATTTGTAATTAGATAATTTGATAAAATTGTAATTTAATTTATTCCTTGTAGTTAGGAGATTAGAAAACTTATTTATTTTTATTTTTAAATTCTTATATCATGCATATATATCAGCTCTTACTTCTTATCAATGGGAAGGCTATGCCATTGCTTTCCAAACACTTTGTTATTATAGGAAAAACATGTCAAACATCCAGAAATTGATATTATTAATTAACCAATATCCATATAGTGCATTAATCTCGAATGCATAACATGCATATTACAGTCACATTGATACATGTTATTGAATTAGAAAAGGCGTAGCTCTGTAGTCTACAACTTTCTAACCTCGAGCATGCATGCATGTTTGTACAATACGTAACTCTCTCTCGTTTGTCAACAAAATTCCTCGTGTATATAATACACACACACATATATATCTATATATATATATATATATAACCGGAGCACATTTGATTAAGCAGTTTTTTACATGCCTGTATGCGGGAGGCACGCCTTTGTACATAGAGTTCTGAGAGCTAGCTAGCTAGCTAATCCACGTGTCCTTTTTTCTTTTCTTTTAAACAAGTTGATTCACTTGTCGTTTCTCTTTCTTTCTTTTTTGTTTCTTTTTTTTTTTTTAGCTCAAGAGTTACTCGCATTGCATGCCTCATGTCATGTAATTAATATATAATCATAATATGTATTGGTTAAAAACTAATCGAAACTTCAAATGTTACAAAGATAACTTTCTCTTTGAGAGAAAAAGGCAGACGAAATCTACATATATATATATATATATGTATATATATATAAGCAAAAAAGCAACTAGAGTGACTCTTACAAACCAGCTTATTTAATTAACATTGGACCCCAAATAAAATTAAACACAAGGGAACTACGTATTGATGATCAACACTTCCAGAAAGGGAGAGAGAGAAGAAGAAGAAGCAGAAGAAGAAGAAGAAGAAGAAGAAGATGATGACAGAATTACCAACAAAAAAGACAAAGTTTACATAGAACTCACACGAACTTTCACCATCTACTATTTATTGATATTCCATTTTCATAACGGTAAGACACATGACTATCCAATAATATTACACCTAATTCTTTTGATCTCCTTCCTTACTTTCATCAAAATGACTGACTACTAAGCATTCCTTCACTTCCCACGCCCGTTTCTTCCCGAACCGGACCCGGCCCTTGACCCGGCATAGGAACCAGCAGACGAACCGGCACCGCCGCCACCAGAGCTAGACGAGGAAGAAGACGAGCTAGAACTCGATGAAGAACTCGATCCGCCTGACCCGGATCCGGAACCCGCTCCAGCCCCACTACCACTACCACCACCTCCAAGTCCAATACCAATCCCAGCACCAATTCCAACCCCCACTCCACCAAGGTCTAACCCCAAGTCCTTTCTCGCCACAATTCGGCTCTCTGAAGCCATAAATAAGCTTGAAAAAAGCAAGACAATGAGCCCCAAGGACTTCAAATAGGCCATTATATATATATATATATATTTTTCCTTTTTTAAGTGTGCAAATAGTAATGCTCAAAGTTAGGGTTTCAAAGTACTTCAACACTCTATATGAAACGAAGAGATGATGAGTTTTTTGTGTGAGAAATGTTGAGCTATTTATAGAAGTGAAAGGGAGTGAAGTTGGCGGGACAAATTAAGCGTGTTTTTAGTGTACATGTTTACATGTGCTTAGTATTGTTATGATTGATAGTGGTGATGCTTGCGTGACATACAAAAATTTGAGGAAATCTGGTCCAAACGCGTGTCGTTTTTCGGTGTGGGTCGGCTGAAGAGTGCTTGAGTGGAGATATCTTTTCTTTTTGGAGAGGCAGATTATTATTAGGATATGGTGGTGCCGACCCATTTAGTCATATTCATACCCCACTTACTCTAGTGGGGTATGATTGGTGGCATGATATCAAGGATGTCAGTTTTATTTTACGGCTAATAATGAAGATTTGTGTGATCTTGTTGGAATGCATTAATGTAAAATACGTGAATAATATGAGAGTTAGACATGATAAGATGTTGATGATATTATAAAAAGATGCCAATATATATGCTTGACAGATCGCCACATACTAGAAAATTTTAGACCTCAAGCTTAGTGGTATTACATTTTGATAAACATTCAAACACTTGAAATTTTCGCTACTAGCAGATCAAGACTTAGAGTGATAATAAAGTGAAGAAATTATTATGGTGAGTATCACATTTTCTGGTGTTTCCTCAAAATTTTCAGTTAATACAACGATTTCTTGAATTTGAAATTTTCATACCAAAACGTAACTGCTACAGAAACAGTGATTAATGTCGGTCAAACTTTAAGGTTGGTTTGGGTGAGAAAGTTATATTTAGAGTACGTTTCTAAGTGAAGATATATATTAGCCGCACAAGCTAATGAAAAGCCTAAACATACTTGCATATTTGAAATTTATCTAACTAAAGCCAGCAATTTTCAAGAAATTTTATGTCATAGCAACGTTCAGGAAACTTACGCAACTTAAGTGGACAAAAAGTCAGCACTAGTGTCAATATCTCTAGTGCAATCATATTATAAGTCTAGGTTATAACTTCTGTATCCATTTTTGTGTAATTCAGCGACTAAGATCTTATTTATTTTACCGATTCAAGTTTTTAATTTTAAATTTTTATAGATAAAAGCTCTCAAAAAATGTCGTATCTAACTTTTTTCTACTACAATTAAAAATATCAAAAAATATCACATTTCAATTCAAATTGAAAATTTAAATTTATAAAGCGAACGAGGTCTAACAAAGATTAATTTAGCTCTCAACAAAACCTCCACTATAGTAAGTGGGCATGCATTATTTGGGTCGGTTACTTCTGAACACTTGTCCAAGTTCCCGGTCAATCTTTACAACTCTCTAGCTATATTGGCCACAAACTTTTGGGCCAAAACAAATATAAGAGAACAAATTTATTAATTTTTTACATGTCCACTTCCTCGTATATAACATTACCTATACTATAAACAACTATAAATAGCTCTCAATCTTTCCAAACTTCAATTAAAAAACACAACTTTCAGTGAGAGTTACGTACTTAAGATCTTATAGCTTTATCTTTCTTTACTTGTAACATCTTTCCATTGCCCACTATAGGAAGAGAAGGATGGTTTCATTCAAGTCCTTAGCTCTTCCCTGTCTGCTTATAGTTGGCATGTCAGTTATTCATGTATCCGAATGCCGAGTTGCTAGGAAGGATCTGGGTTTGGATCTCGGTGGTGTTGGAGTCGGTATCGGAACCGGAATAGGCCTCGGCTTGGGAGGAGGCTCCGGTTCCGGATCCGGAGCGGGGGCCGGGTCGGGTTCTGGCTCGGGGTCAAGCTCATATTCATCATCGGGTTCCAGTTCAAGTTCAAATGGCGGGTCGGATGCAAGCTCCGAAGCAGGCTCGTATGCCGGATCAGGTGGCTCTGAGGCGGGCTCAAGTGCCGGGTCTCATGCCGGGTCCAGGGCTGGCCCGGGGTCGGGCAGGAGCGAAGGACATGGCTCGGCACAAGGGCGTGGCCGTGGTTCGGGACGTGGCGGCTCTGGGGAGGGTTCCGGTCAAGGAGGTGGCTCCGGAACGGGTGACGCGTACGGCGAGGGTGGCGGCTACGGCGAGGGATATGGCGGAGGCGGCAACAATTGAGCAAACGCCAAAAAATGATCATGAAAAAAATGTCACATGAGTGTCGTGATTCATCACCATTATGTGTTGATAAATAAAATAGGGGGTGAAGAACTTTTGAGTCCTCTCTATCGAGATTTGATCCTTATTTCAGATGGATTTTTATTGTATTATGGTTGTAATATTTATCTAGTTCAAGGGTCTGAAACTTATATATTGAGTTTCCTTAGTATCCAAATTGTATTTGCCACTAATTATCTGATCTAATGAATTATATCACAAAATGTTTATGTTTCATATATGATGCGCGGGTTAATTGTATAGCCACATTGTCAAATGTTTCTTTAGTTTATTTAGAAATATTTGTCAAGTCTCTGCTGATCGTCGTGGTTATGCACAAACAAAATAACTTAATTATAAAATGATTAAAGCTATAAGAAAAAATATCCTTATTAAACAAGCTGGTTAAATATCTTTTTTTGGGTGTTTTCTATGTATGAATCTTTTTACAAGTTGTTTTTCTTTAAGACTTCTATTCGAGTTTACTGATATAATTGGTGATCTGTCAAAGTCGTATTTTTTGGGATTTTTAATCTCATGTGACACAAACTTTTTTATGTGGCATTGATGATTGGCATAGGATTTGTGCATTTTTATTGTCATCCTTGTATCAAATCTGTTTAATTACTTGTTACTGCTTTTACACATTGATTCCATAATTTATTGATTGATTTATAATTTGTTTCTACAAATAGCCGATTTGATTTGATTGGATACTTGTAGATTTTGTTGGTTGTCAACACAGATTGACTTTTGTGGACTAATATTCTGATTATTTGCAAGATTAAGTTGCCGTTTTTAGTGAGATAATATTTTAATTAGCTGATCACAAATTTATCTCATCTATTTTAGGCAATCTTTTGTGATTTCGGTTTTTATGGTCTTGATCCTTGTACATAATTGAGTCTAGGTTCATCATTTCAGTCTCTGATTGCATGCATTCCTCTGGACATTTCATTTAGAGTTTTCCTGATCAATTTCGTTCTCATGATTGAAACCATTTTTTGTAACATATCACAATTATAATTCTAGATCTATCTACCAAACGCTCCCTTAAGCTCGATTAATTGGGTATTTGGTCAATAAACTACATCAAGTGTTTTTATATATGTTGCACTGGAGACTTAAATATATGATACTAACTCTCTATATTCAAATTTGGATACTCTCAACCCTTATTGATCTTCTTGGTGGTGTTTATTAAGTTCTTCTAGAATCCACTATTATAAGAGACCTTGTCTCAATAATTTTTCGGATACGAATGGTTAAAATATCACGTTAATTAAAAAATTATAACAGTTAAAATAATATCATGAATTAAAATGTCACGTCAATTAAAAAATCATAATAATTAAAATAATTTTAATTAACGTGGTATAATCTTATTGAGAGGACACAAAAGTAATGGACCTATAGAGGGGATATATATATATATATATATATATGAGCTAATTTGAAAGGGAACCAACTTTTGTGTCTGTATTCTCGTCTTCTTTTATGCCCCTAGTTCTAATAAAATCATGACATATCAATTAAAAAGTCATAATAATTAAAATAATTTTAACTGACATAGTATAATCTTATTGAGGGAACATAAAAGAGACACATGAGCTAAATTTAAAGGAAACCAACTCTTGTATCCCCTCATTTTTTAGAGGAACACCCCAAAAATCTCAATACAAGAATCAACTGCACTAGGGGGAGCAAATTTGGTAACCGATGCATTTAAATGATGTGGTGGCACCTAATATTATCAAGAAACGCTGTAGTTTTTGACCAATTTGTAAGCATCATAGTTTGAAGCACCGAAAAAAAAAAAAAACAAAAAAAAAAAACTTTGTTATCACCATTGCTTAGCGATGTCAAATAGGCTGGTCTAGCTCGTTTAATTAGGGTCTAAACCTGCTTCGTATCGTGTCTAGACCATCCCATTTATTTATTATATGTGTTGGACCTAACTCATTTAGTTTTTACAGAAATAGTAGAAAATAGGCCAATATGAAAGTTTAAGAAAGTATATAGGCTAATTTTTAGTTATAAAAATTAATAGGCCATAACTTACCAAGTTATGGTTCATAACCAGATATGCTATGGACAAACTTGTTAAGTTATGGTTTATAGCCAGACAAGTTATGGACAAAAACCGTAAATTATGGATAATAACTTGTCAAGTTATGGTTCATAACCAGACAAGTTATGGACAAAAATAGTAATTTAGCCTATTTGTTAACTTATGTAAACTATTAACTTATTAATTTTAATTCATTTCAAGTCTTGGTCTATTTCTCTTTTTTTTCTTAGTCTTTATGGCATTTCGGCCCATGGTCATTTATTTGTAGGTTGTGCTCAACGTCTTTGGAACGTGCTCGTGCTTTTTCTATGCTTTTAAAAAAGCATTAGACATAGTGAAAACATTAAATCTTAAAAAAAAGTACATCATTAATAAAAAATTGTGTTACTGAAAACATTACAAAAAAAAAACCCCTTGGAATAAAATCTTGATAAAGCAAAAAGAGTGCTCTGAGTCTTGTAAAGGAATGCATAATTAAATAAAAATATATATAACAAATAATTCTAATTAATCTATAATTCGTGCTCAAATAAAAATTGTGTACAAATCAATGCCTCCACCATCTTGGGGCTCAATGAACTCCTAAAGGGATCGAGGATGCGGCCTCCGATACTAAAAGCAGATTCTGAGGCTACCATTGAAACATGAATGTCAAGAATGTATCTTGCAACTAGTGAGAGAACCTTGTAATTAGTTGCATTATTCTTCCACCAATCTAAAACATCAAAATTTGACCGAGTTGGATCCTCCATAGGGTCTGTCAAGTATCTGTCCACATCATTTTTGTACTCATTCACATTCTTCTCATTCATTTTCCTGACAAACTTGCTCCACAAACACCCTTTTCCTTCTACTTCCATTTTTCCCTCTGTTGTACTTGTTGCCGCCTCTCCACTACTTTCATTAGCCACAGATTCACCCTTGTCCCCACTATAAACCTCATGCTGCCGGTACATAGAATCATTCACATTCTTTGCTAATGTTTCAGAAGTGCAAGAATCATACACTATAGAGAAACAATTTGTCAAATAAACCATTTTGTACCTAGGATCAAGTACAACAGCCACAAAGAGAAGACAATTTATATTCTCAACATTCCCCCAATACTTGTCATACTTTTTTTTCATACTCACAACCATGGATGAAAGCATTGAATCATCTTGTTTGCTTATATTCTCAACATTCCCCCAATACTTGTCATACTTCTTTTTTATACTCACAGTCATAGATGAAAGCATTGAATCCTCTTATTTGCTTCATTCAGATAGCTGGTTTTGTATCTCACAAAGCTCATGAAAGTAAGAATTTGAAGTGACATTCAAAGTGGCATTAAACTTCAAAGTTATATCATAAAAAGTCTTCAGAAATTTCACAAACACCTTAACATTCTCCCAATCATCATCAAGTGGCAGGCCAATCTTCCGTTTCCCCCCCTCATCTTCCCAAAAATAGATACAAACTTGTGATCTACCTCTTCATATCTTTCAAAAGCTTTTTGAAATTTAATGGTTGCATCTAACATCATATAGGTGGAGTTTCATCTAGTAGGGATATCTAGGCATACGAGGCCTTTGTATTCAATTTTCTCTGGCTCCACACATGACTTGAATTTCAGCAACCTAGCTAGAGAAGACCTCACATATCTCGCAGCGTTACGAATGGCAGCTATGGAATTATGTAGGTCTTTTAAACCTTCATTGACAATCAAGTTCACTATATGGGCACAACACCTAACATGCAGAAATTCCCCACCTAAACCAACCCCTTTTCACCCCTTAATCTTACTTCTCAAGTAGGTAATCATGGAGTCATTTGAGGAGGCATTATCAACAGTCATAGTGAAGACTCTTTCAATACCCCAAGCATGCAAACATGACTTAATGACTTTACCAACCCTCTCTCCCTTGTGACTTGAAATTTGACAAAAGTTTATAATCCTTTTTTACAAAGTCCACTCACTATCAACGTAGTGTGCAGTTAGACACAAATAATTAATATTTTGCAAGGATGTCCAACAATCAGTTGTTAGGCAAATCCTTTGACTGCCCTTACTAAATTCAGCCCTTAGTTTCTTCCTCTCTTCCAAAAAAAGTTGGTAAATGTCCTTAGCAATCGTAACACGGGAGAGGATAGAGAACCTAGGCTGCGTCACTTGACAAAAATTATTAAATCCTTCACCTTCAACAAACCTAAATGAAAGCTCATCTACAATCACCATTTTTATTAACGCTTTTCTACAATGCTCATTGTTAAAGCCTATAGCAACAAGACTACTGTCAGTTTCAGTGTTTGTTTAGAAACTCAGAGTTTTTTACTTTTTGCCTTAGTTCCTATATGGGTATTTCTTGCATTGCTTTTCTATGTGAACCTTCATACTACTGGTGTCATGTCTCCCACTATCATACGCATATGTTGCCCCACAATAGATACACTTACACCTAGGCTCATTTGAATCCTCACCCTCTATGATTTTGAAATGATCCCAAACAGGAGACTTTTTTGTGACTTCTTCCTCTTTTTACTGTCTCCTTCCTCTTTTTCATTTTCAATTTTAGTGCCCAAATTAGGTACGGGGGTAGGGCTAAGTGTGGGAGTGGGTAAGGTAATGGGCTCTTTAGGCATAAAGACACTTTCTGTTTCAGCAGAGGATTTGCAAGTGCTTTCAGAAGTTTTTGTCGGGTGGATGATAAATTTTTCCATCTAGCACACAAATTAACCTAAAAAACAGATAACATATGATTGAGACTAAACGTAGAGATTACTACGAGAGAAACTGTTATAAATAGATAAAACAGATAAAACAGGTTAATACAACGTTGAAAGACAAACTGTTATAAATACCCAATTCAATATACTATATACTTGGATTATATATAAAAATCTTTTCTCACTACGAGATGACTAAAACTCGCATAAGAGATTACTTCTCACAAAAGGCTTCCAAACGGTGTAAACCAGCCACAACCAACAAATTGGCTCCTTTCATATCAAAGTTTGACACATTGAAGGCTTCACATTGTAAGCATAACATTACCCATTCATTGTAGAAATGCAATTAAAGTTCCATAACTAAATACTGTAAGCATGAACAGAACCAAAGCAAGTTTCACGTAAGTCCCAGAATTAGTTCTCACAAACAGTTCTCTTATTGTTGAAAACAGCTTATTGCGAATGA